CTTCTATTATGAAATAATAATGTGTAATATTTTTTAATGAAACAATATTATTTTATATTATAGAATATTTAGTAATTATATTTTTTTTTCAAAACGTTGTATGTGTGTGTTTTTCTATTTCCATTTCATATGTAATATTTATATTTAATGTATGATAATTTCATGCAATACATTGTAATTCCTTATAATACATAATATTTCCATTTATTACTATTATTATTATTATTTCCTTATTTATATTTGTATTATTATATTATATATCAAAATTTGAAGAAAGAATATATATTTGCACATTATTTACAATTTTCATGAAATCGACCTGTTTGCCTACTTCAATTTTCCCATTTTAATTTTCATCCAAGGTCAAAATGTTGGTGCTATTGAAATTTTCTTTTGCAGCATAAAGAGCAAACGTATAATTTAACTGATCGACATATTTCATTGCTATTGTAAATATTTATTTGTAAAATAGTGACATTATGAATAATCAAATTAACAATGACAAATTGAAATAATTTTTTACTGACAAATGAAAGAGAGGAAAAAGAAAAAAAAATTATATGAAATTTCTTGCTTTAAAAAATTTACTAATTATAGATTTGATCAGTTTTTTCATTTTTTTTTTCTCTCTCTCTCTCTTCCGAATTTTTTTATAATAATAATTATCATACACCAAAATATTTTCATTTATCAAAATACAAATTGTAATATATGCAAAAAAAAAAGAAGGAAGGAAAAATTTTCCTTTTTTTAATTCTGCATTTTTTCAAATCTTTTATTATCAAATATTATGGAAGTCATAAAAGATTATGGATGAAATTTCACATCGTATATTTTTCGATTGATTAAAATTTGACAAATTTTAATCAATTTTTTTTCATTTTATTTCTTTTAGATTCATTAATAATACATATTTATATGAATATAAGCAAAAATTTTTATGCAATAAAATGATTTTTCGTCAATTCTTTGCTAATAATTTGTAAAATGCTTTAGTAGTTTAGTTTGCTTTAAATAGTGGAAGAATGAAAGAAGTATAACACTATGTGAACTTTAGCGCAATACTATTGATTAGCTCAATTAGTAAGCAAGCAGTTCAACCAGAAATATATTATTTCAATGATATTTAAATTGATATAAACCTTTTACTAAAATTATTGAAATCAATTTTCAGTGATCAATCTTAACATATTTGCCATTCTTTATCAGCATTGTATCTACATTTTAGTAATGTAAACTAGGAAAAAAATTATGTATGTTAATTTATTTATTTGTACAGCCTAAAGTTTTATGAAAACAGAATGGAGGGAGAGAGAGAGAGAGAGAAAGAGAATGAGAAAGAAAGATTGAAAATTTTTTTTTAACTGCCCTCAAACCATCGATTTGGACTGAAAGCTTTATGTCTCTAATAGGTGGTAATTATTAGTGGAAGAAATAGGTAAGTTAAAAAGCAAATAAGGAAGTAGTAGATAAAGTAAGTATTATCGATAACTATTAGATTATTAGATTGATGCTAACTATTAGAATGAAATATTTTTATTATAATTATTAGATTATAAAAAATTTGTCAACAATGTGGACATTTGTTAGGACTTGTTGATTAAATTTGCGATTGCTTAAATCAACAGGAATTCTCGATATTTTATGGTAGTAGTATGTCACTTTATTCTGAAAGGGAAAAAAAGAACAAAAACATTTCTCATAATTCATTCATCATATTTACAAAATTATTTGGTGCTTTTGTAATTCATCAATACGTAATTTTACATTCAGTTAATAATTTTTCGGGAATGCTCCAAACATATCGATACATGGATATACCGTATCCATACCGTATACCCACGTATATGTACTGCATACAGTATACGCGTGTACAGTACAGTGCTCTCCTCAATACACGCGTGTACAGTACAGTGCTCTCCTCAATACACGTGTGTACAGTACAGTGCTCTCCTCAATACACGTGTGTACAGTAAGTACTCTCCTCAATACACGTGTGTACAGTAAGTACTCTCCTCAATACACGTGTGTACAGTAAGTACTCTCCTCAATACACGTGTGTACAGTAAGTACTCTCCTCAATACACGTGTGTACAGTAAGTACTTTCTTCAATACACGCGTGTATCGTACACTTTTTTCAATATTCAAGTGTGTACCATGCATCATTCTTCATACACCTCTGCGTCTATCATAAACTTTTTTTCAATAACAATTCAAGTATGTACGGTTCAATACATGCAAATAAATAATGAATTTGTTAATTCGATATAATTAATAATAAACAACTAATAAATAATAATAATGATAATTAATGATGATAATAAATAATAATAATAATAAATAATAATAATAATAGTAATGATAATGATAATAATAATAATGAATAATAATAATAATAATAGTAATAATAATGATAGTAATGATAATGATAATAATAATAATAATAACAGTAATATAATATTAAGTTCTAACAAAATAATATCCATACTTTCACACTTCTAACAACCATTCCTTATCATTTATCACACAAATCAATATATCATTCATCCAATTGCACCAGTTTGCTGCAAAAAATTTTTGGAATTTCGAAATTTATTTTTCGCTACTACAAAAAGAATGAATCTAAGGCATCAAAAATCATCCCTTCCCTTAGACATACACACATACGCACACACATACAAACATACACACACATACACATCCATACATATACATACAAATGTTCTCGCTTTGTCTCTCTCTCTCTCTCTCTCCTTGTCCCTCCCTCTCCCTGTCTCTCTCTCTCTGTGTCTCATGCTATTCATCACCTACTTAATTTCATTCTTTTCATTTAGGAATAGGAAATGAAATAAAGGAAAAGTGAGTAGAGAAAAAGTGGTGAAATTTTGATTACTAAGTTTTTGACAGAATAGACGATTGGAGAGAGAGAGAGAGAAAGATGGAGAGGAAGAAAGAAAGAGAAAGAGATAGAGAGGCATAGACGGAGAGAGAGAGAGAGAGAGAGAATGAATTGGTCATATAGAATGGAAATAAATAGTAGTAATACGGGGAAAAGCGTCATGTGCTTTTGCTCGAATGATTGTTAGTTTTGAGTTCACAAATAAATTTGAAATCTTTTTGTTTATTAATTAATTTATTTTTTTCTATTCAAAAATTTTCACCTAATTCTTAATTATTTATTATTAATTTTGTTTATTATGAAGATGAAATAATTTAAAATGATATCATTTACTCTTACAAATTCATTCATTTAAAAATTTTTAAATATTTTCTTTTTTTTTTTAGTAAATTATTAGTTGAACTAAATTGTTTTCTATTTTGTTTTATTGACATATTTTAAAAGATAATAAAATGAAATTTAATCATTCATTATTGTCATTCTTCTTTTTATTCATCTTTTCATCTTACTTTTTTCTTTGTTTCTTAATTTTTTAGATTGTTATTTAATATTTACAATTGTTAATTTTCATTCAAATATATTTTAGTTGTATGTAAATTTAAAAAAGAGAAAAGATTTTTGATAATTATATAAGAAAGGAGTAATTATTCTTCACAAATATATTTTCAAATGTATTTCTCTTTCAAAAAAAAAAAAGAAAAGAAAGAAGAAAAAGAAAAATTAGTTGATGATCAATTATTCTTTCATCATTTGGTGCTATTTCTATTGCTTTTGATGATGTTTCATCTCATCGAATTAATTTTTTCTTTTATTTTATTTTTTTTTTAATCAAAAAAAAATTTGAAGAAAAATCATTTTATTACACAAAAAAATTTTTACTTTTTTACATATTAATAGGTACTATTAATGAATTTAAAGGAAATGAAAAAAATCGATTAAATTTTGTCAAATTGTAATCGAAAAATATTCGATGTCAAATTTCATCCATAACCTTTTATGATTTTTATATAATATTCGATAATGAAAGATTTGAAAAAATGCAGAATTTAAAAAAAAAAAAATTTTCCTTCTTTTTTTTTTTGTGTATTTTAATAAATGAAAAATATTCATTATGACGTATAATAATTATTATTATAAGGAAATTTAGAAGATACAGGAAAGAGGGAGAGAGAGAGAGAGAGAGAGAGAAAAAAAAAGAAAAAACTGATCAAATCTATAATTAGCTTTTAAAAGCAATTTTTTCTTTCTTCTTTCTTTTATCTTTTAATAAAAAAGAAAAAAAAGGAAATTACTTTAAGTTATTGTTGTTTACCTGTTTACCTGTTTATCTGATTATTCATTAATGTTTCATTTGCATAACTATATGTCATCGATAAAGTGTGTTAATCGTTTAAATTATACGTTTAATTTCTTTTGTGAAATTTCGAATGAACGAAAAAAACTTTTGTCATTATTTTAGGAAGCATTAATTGGTGGTAAAAAAGTAAATAAACAAACAAACAAATAAGCAAAATTCATTGGATACGAATTACTTTATAGTTTTAACGAGTGCATAAAGAACTCGTTAAAGAAGAGGAAAAAGCTATCGCTTGTAAATTTATCGAAATCAATAAGTAATTTTTTTTTTTTGTTTATTTTATAATTCTAATCTATAATTTGTTGACAATGTAGATTGAATGATAAATAAATTAAATTAAATCCTTCAAATAATTTTAGCAATGTGAAATAATCTCTTCTCGAGAATTGCTGTCAAAATAGTTTTGCATTTTAGAAGTTATAATACTTATCGTATTTAGTAGCTAACTTATATGATAAAGTGTAAAATTAATTAAAGAATTTTAGAATTAATATCAATGATCTATTTTCTTATTTTCATAGCTAATTGATATTATTTTTTGAATTATTTTCAAATTAAAAATTTGATATAAAGAGAAAAAAAAAAGAAAAGAATGAAAATCGTAATTATCGAATAAATTGATAAGTAAATTAGGAATATTATTAAGTAAATAATGGTTTAAAAAAATTAAGAATTATGAAGTAAATAATGATTCAAAAGAAAAAAGATTATAAAAGTTGTAATTTCAGCTATTTGCATAAATTATGACTTCAGAAGATAGCAATGATTGCAAACATACATGTTTCATTTATTTACCAGATGTTTGGATACCATTTGATAAGTTTGTTTATTTTATTTTTTTTTTTTTTTTTTTTTTAGTTAATATTTTCATTTCATTTCACTTTTATGCTTATTCAAAATGAATGATAAAGCAAAAAAGAAAAGAAAAAAGTAACAAATATTCGTTAAAATATTTTAGATATAAATAGCAGAAAGAACAGAAAATGAAAATTTAAAAAATTTTTTTAAAATTTCTTTTCTTTCTACCGTATTAAATTTCATAATTCGATTTCGTATTAAATTTCATAGTTCAAAACCAACACTGAGAAAAGAAAATAAAAAAAAAAAGCGGACGATTCCATATTAATCTTTCCGTTTAATCTTTCCGTTTTTTTTTTCTTTCTGGAATTAATATACGATTCGAGTATAATTTAACAATTTAACAGATATTTTAATATAATATTTCTATTCCATATTAATCTTTCCATTTAATCTTTTCATTGTTTTTTTTTCCTGAAGTTAATATACGATTCCAATATTATATAATTTACTACCAATTTAACCTATATTTTAATACGATATTTCTCATTGCTATCAAATTATTTTAACATTTACAAAGAGTAATAAATGTTAATTATCATTCATTAATTTTATCATTTCCAATAATAAAATAATTAATTTTTAATTTAAAAATTTAGGAAAAAATCATAAAATGAATATCAAAAAAGAAAAAAGGAAGAAAAACGAATAAAAATTTATACAATTATTTATATTTGTATTCTGATTGTGCTTATCATTTTTATATTCTGATTATGCTTATCACCTTTTTTTTTTTTAGCTAATGATAAGGAAAATTTTATTTATTTTTCTTTTTTCATTCTTTTCTTGTTTAACAAAAAAAAAAAATGATTGAGTGTCACTTTTTTTTTTTATTTCAAGTGAAAGTAATGTTTTCTTTTTTTCTTTTTTATTTTTTTCTTTCATATATAGAATTAAAAAATCGGTCTATAAGTCAACAATGATTGATGAATTTGTTTTTCTACCAAATTGTTGAATCACTTTTTTTTTTTTAGAAAAAAAAATTTTTTTTAATTAAAAAAAATGGATATACGAATATTCATAATAGTATCGAAAATTTTTAGTATTTTAAACAATTGTTCAACTCTTTTTTTTTTTTTATTAAATTTTAAAAGTAATTTTTTAACAATGATTTAAAATTTATGATGAATAATGATTTGAAATGATTAGTACAATTGAAAAAAATTATTACACTGGAAGAAGTCAAAGGTCAAACAGTAAATAGGAAATATTAATGATTGTTTCTCGTCTGCAAAATGTTTACCTTTTAATGGCTTTGACATTTTTTTTTTTTTTTTTTCATCCGATACAAAATTTATTGCTATTGTCTCTTTTTTTTTTTAAATGATCGCATTTTTGTTGCAAACAAAAGAATTATTTCATTGATAAGTTATAAGATTGTAAAAGATTTTTGCATAGTTTCATTTCAGAACTTATTTATGAAATTAAATCAATTTTATAAAAATATAAATGTAATATACTTAAAATTAATTTGTCTATCATTTATTTAAAATTCATTTACTATCATTTACTTGTCTTTTTTTTATATTTTATTCATTTTACTTATTCAAAAAACTCATTTTTTACATCCATTATTATTATTTACTATTACTTATTTAAAACTCATTTTACATTACTTACTTATTCAGGACTTATTTACTATTACTTAATTAAATAATTGAAATTTGAATTTCATTATTTTCTATATGTACGTTGAAAGAATTCTTTTTTTTTTAAATATATTTAAAAAGGAAGAAAAATCTTTTTAAAAACTTATTTTACAAAAATAATTTTCCTTTTTACCTCTTTTTTTCCTAATAGGGAAAAATATGAATTTATTAAACTTTTTTGTTACTGAAAATTATTCATTCCAATAACTAAGAAATTCATTAATTAATTGTTAAGAATCATTAATTATGGCCTAATTCTTTTGAAATTTTATCGGGTTAATTGTAACATAAAAGAGAAAAGAGGTATATTTATAATCGCTAAACAGTGATAAGTTAAATTTAGGGGAGAGAGAGAGAGAGAGAGAGAGAGAGAGAGGGAGAAAGAAAGATAAAATATGGAATCAAACCTTTATGTTTTCCCTTTCTCTCTCTCTCTTTCTCTCTACTTTTATTTAAATTTAAAAGAGTAATATAAAATTAATTTTCGAAAAAACAAACAAATAAATCATTGTTGCATAATTGTAGTAGCAATTGTTGTCAATTAATATTCACGATTTGTTGTCACATCTTGTCATAAAAACAATTGCAAGCAAATGTGAAGTGACAAGTTGACAATTATGATAAATATTATTATGCTCATTTCATCTTTCATTATTTATTATTATTACTATTATTATTATTATTATTATTATCATTATTATTGATTATTATTATTATTATTATTATTATTATTATTATTATTATTATTATTATTATTAATCATTATTACCATCAGCTGTTATTGTTATTAAGTTTTAATTTATTCTCACTATTACTGTTATTAAATTTGCTAATTACTAATTATTTCCATGTATATTTACTGAACAACAAATTATTATTTATGAAAAACATTGGTTTAATTCTAAATCAACAAAATGTAAAAATTGATGCATAATTTCGAAATTCAAATACGACAGATGTGATAAAATTTTGCTAGTAAACAAGCAATTTAAATTATATTTATCAGATAATATTAATAATTCTTTCCTTTTTTCTTTTTTCTTTTTTTTTGAGACAGGTAATCAATCATTTAACTTTAGTTATATATTAGAAGTAATGTAAACTTTCAAATATTTTAGCTATACAATAATAACAAACAAATTGTGCTTTCTAATCTTTAAATAATTGTTGAAATTAGCATTGATAGTAATAAATTGTTTAAATAATGATATGAAAAAACTAGTTAAAATTGCTTGTTTATTTGTTTAGTGTATTAATTTTTTAAGCAAACCTTTAGCAATTTACTTATTTCAAAAACTAAATTAAAACAAGTTTGTATTAGCTAACATTAGCCAACAAAAATTCTACGTCTGTATATTTTGGAACTTGCTAATAAGATAGAAATAAATTTATTTTATAAAAATTCCCTAAAAAAAAAAGAAATAAATAAAATGAGGAAGAGGGAGGTGCAAACGAGTATTATAATTTCAAAATTGAATTAAATAGTTAAAAATTTGAGGAATTGTTCTCTTCTACAAAATAATTATCTAATATTTTTAATTTCAATTATTTAGGGTGGAAAAAGAAAGAAAAAAACTTATAAATCTTTAATTTATGAAGTAATTATTGAAATTATTGTACCTGTATATTTGAAATGAAAGAAAATATGGAAAAGAGAAATAAATTTAAAAAATATATAATAATTATTGTAATTATTATCTTTTTTTTCTCTTTCTCTCTCTCTCTCTTCCTTCTCTCTCTTCCATAAAATAATTGTCTAATATTTTTAATTTTAATTATTTAGAGAGGCAAAAGAAAAAAAATGAATTGATAAGTGAAAAAAAAGAGAATTTTATTGAAATAGAAAAAAATAACATTTTTTAAATTTAATATGAAATGATTAAAAAACATTTTTAAAAAAAAATAAACTTTTTTTCTGTTCTTTTTAAAGCTTTTTTTTTAAAAAAAAGTTTAATATTAATTTATTAAATTACAGATGGCTTTGTTTACATCCAAAATATCGAACTATTTTTTATCAAACAATTGAGCAACTTTTTTATGGTAGCGGTCCAATGGCAATATGTGAGCGACATTATATCGCATTAATGGTAATTTTAAAAATAAAAAAAAAAAAAATTAAATTTCTTTTGCATTAAATCAGTTAATCTGAATATAATTATAAAATATAACATTAAAAAATTATTATTATTTGTAAAAAAAAAAAATTTTTTTGAAATTTAAATATTTTATAATTTTTATAAAATATTAGCATATGAAATAATTATCAGTGATTGAATTTTTCTTTCCTTTTTTTTTTTCAAAATTTTTTATTACTTTTTTTTCCTCTTTTTCTTCTTTAACAAATGATTTTTAGTTTTATTTTTAAATAATTTAGTAAAAAGAATAGCTGTAGAATGAAAAATTTTTAAAGCTATAAATTTTGTTTTTAAATTCAAAAAAAAAAAATCTTCTTTTTATTTTTTAAATTAGGCTGCAAGTAGACATCGATGTTATTTCTTAATGGATTTACACGGACGTGAATTTGAACGTACTGGTGGAAAGAGTGAATGGTTGAAAGGATTATCGTATGCTTCGGAAAAAATTCAAAATATTGATGTATTAAATACAATCTTAGCTCATCAACCATGGTCAACAAATGTTGATCATTTGGCCGTATGTTTGTTTATTTAATTAATTTTAAATTATATATATAAATCTTTTTGCAAATGAATTAATTAAATTAATAATCTTTACAAATAATTAAATTATTTACATTATTGTAGGTAAACTTTTAATAATTTTAATATATATTATGTTAATATGGAAATAATATACTTATTCTAATGTTAATATTATAGTTATTTTATTAATACATACTACATTTAATTAAATTATTATAATTATTGCATTAATTAATTTCAAATTATTTTATATACCTAAGATACATACATATATACATGCGTAATTATGACAAATAAATTAAAATATTGATTATCAGAGCTTTAGATAAATGGAAATTAATTAATAGCATAAACAAATACAAATTATTGCTATTATTTGAACATTTTCAAATTTATTTTATAAAATTAATTTTTTTTTTTTTTTTTTTTTTGCAGATGCTTATAAAATGTTGTTCACCAGCAAATTGGTGTTTATCTGAATTAGTTCAAGCATCAATTGTATTAGCACAAACTCATGTATTATGCTCATTTATTCTAGGAAATGATATCAAATATTCAAATGAAAGGTTTGTATAGGAATTTATGATTTATTATAATTATTAGCTTTTTTTTTCTTAATTTTTTTTTTTTTTAAGAACACAAAATATTTTTGTTCTTTTTATAATTACATATGGTAATTAATTACGTAATATTTTAAAATTAATATATATTAAAATTATCTGTACCTTTATTATTATTATTTTAATCATTACTATTGTTGTTAATTATTATTATTATTGTTAATGTTGTTATTATTATTATTATTATTAATTATCATTATTACTATTAATTATCAGTTATTATTACAACAATACAATCATAATAAATAATTAAATGTTTTTCAAAAAAAAAAAAAAATGAGAAAAAGAAAAATCAGTAATACATTTATTAATTTATCATTGTTTAAATTAAATTATTAAATTTCAGTTCACTCAAGGTAATAAACGACCAAAAAAAATGGATTGGAAATAGTAATAGCGGTGATAGTGGCGGTGATAGCACTGATAATGATGATTGTAAGATTGAGGTATTACTGGGATATATGGAACAGTTGAAAAAATCACAATTAAATAATGATGTAAAGCAAACAGATGACGAGGCTAAAATGCAAATGGATTTTTTGAAAGTGCAAAACGATTACGATGAAATCAAATCTACAAATTCTGGTAAAATTTATAAATTAAAAATTGTTTTTCTTTTTTTTTTTGTTTTCTTTTCTATGTGATTATTGTTGAATAATTTTTGATTTATATTTCATTTGCTAATTATTTAATTATTATTATTATTATTATTTTTAGTTAAAAGCGAGGAAATATTAATAGCAGAAAATAGATTGAAAAATAATTGTATGAAAAAAAATTCGATGGAAAATTCCATAATATCTCATAACAATATTTCAACGTTATATACGTTTAATAATCATTTTGGTTACGTTGATTTTGCTCAATGTGCAGAAGATGGTTTTACTCGAACACATAAAATTCACGTTAGTAATTTTTAAATATGAAAAAAAAAAATTTTTTTTTTTTAATGAAATGTTTAATTTAAATAAAAAATAAAATTCATTTAATGCTAAATGAATAGATATTAAGTCTTTTTTTTTTCCAAATGTACATATCTGCGAATTTAATTTTCCTAAAATAAGTTATTTCAATTGATAATACTTTTTTATGAAATGTATTATTTATTAGTTAATCATTTTTTTTCATGATTTCTAAAATTATAAAATGTGAATTTGAATCTTTTTTTGTGATTTCAAATTTCAATTTTATTCCATTTGGTACTTATTTTTTTAATTTTAACGTAGTATTTTTATTTATCAATTAATCTTTTCTCTTGTATTTTTTGAACTTACAAAAATTAAATTTAAAAATTTCAAAAATCAGTTTTTTTTTTTTTTCAAAATTATCAATTTTTAAGGAATTTTCATGGGAAGATCAAGGCTATAGCTGTGTTGATGAATTATATAATGAAATGGCGGATATTTTGGATAAAAAAATGACACTTATTCAAAATCTTACTTATTCCACGTAATTATTATTTTTATTGATTATTTTGATGTTGTCACTTTAATTAATTTTATAATTAATTCTTAGCATTTGATTATTGATTATAATTACTATTATGACAATCATAGCCATTATTTCTACAATGTATAATTCTTGATTTCGATAAATATCTTTCCTTTTTGGTCATCTTTTTTGCTGTTAAAAATTTCAAATTTCAAGAAATAAGCATTAAATTATTTTAATTAATTAATTACAAAATATTTAATCATTTTAGAATGGGTGCTTATAGTGATGTGGATACAAGTAAATATCGAAATGCAATTTGGATGTACATTCAATCGTTATATGGTATCATATTATTAACTTTTCCTTAATTAATTATTAAAAGAAAAAGCATAAGTTAGAAGAGTTACAATCTAATGAGTACTTTATTAGTAAATTTTTACTTAAAAGTTTAAAGCTTAAAGCAATTCTTTTTTATCCTGTAGTATCACATGTACAGTAACATACTAAGTTAATGAATGATAAATTTGTAACTCGTTAAACGATTTACCAAATAGATTAATTAGTAAATTGCTAAATAAATGAATCAATAAGCAAATTAATTAATGACTAGATTAATAAATGATCATTAATCAATTTGTAAGTACTTAATATATATATATATTCAATAAATTGCATTTTGAAAGTATTTAATTACAAGATTATTGTCATTAATATTATATTATAAAACAAAAAAAAAACAAAAAAACCAAAAAAACTGATAATAATCATTAAACATTTCAAATTATTATTATTATTTTTTTTTTGTTTAACATATATGATAAATGAACTGTAGGATAAGAATTAAAAAAGAAAAATTAAATAAATGAATTATTATTTGTAATTTAAGAATTTTTTAACAGTATGCAATTACAGGTATTCGACACGATGATTATAATTATGCTGAAGTAAATATTATGCTTAATCGTAAAATGAAAACATTTATCAAGATGACATGTTGTCATCCACATCAAATAACAGATTCATTGCGACAGTCTGTTATGATCGATTTTAGATCATCTGAAAAGGTTTGATAAGCGTTTTTTTTTTTTTTTTGAAATTATGAAATTAGACGTATATCTTATTTTTTTTTAAACTGATAATGATATATTATCTTATTTACATTACATTTATGCATTATTTGTTTACACTCAGTATTATACTACTAAAAGTTATTACTTAACCGAAAAAAAAGAGAGAAAAACGACAAATGTAATCTTTGATCTTATTATCATTATCATTTTCATATGTAAATTTTGGAAAATTTTATAATTTATCACTACTGCTATTAACTGCTGTTAAGCTATAAAATTTGAAATAGCAAAGATTATTTTTCTACACAGTCTTGTTTTTTTTTTGATAAAATCATTTTATGGTGCAGCAGTAGTGTGTATCATCATTTTTCTAAATGTTTTATTTTTAATTGTTTAATTTAATTAAATTCTTTCAATTTGATAAATTGAATTAAATTTTTACTCTTTTTTTTTCATTCTGAGTATTTAATTAATTTAAATTAAATTAAATTAAATGAAAATTTTAGGTACATGTATTACTGATAATGATGGAAGCACGTCTTCAAGCGGAATTGATTTATTTCTTTCGTGCTCTTGTCAAATTCAATAATTCCTCAACAGTTGCTTAGCTTATCTTATCATTTCTTGTTCTTATCAGTGATTATTTGTAAAAGGCTACAAAAATTTGATTTTTTTATTTTTATTCTTTTCTTTGTTTAGCTATGATAAAAGGTTCAATTGTTTTTTTTTCTCTAATAAATCATTCTTTTTTTAAAATTGTTTGATAATTTTCATTGCATTTATTTTACATATAAAAAAAAAGACTTTTTTGTTTCAGTTAATTAAATTTTGTCGTTAAATTTAAACTTCGATTTGTTTTAAAATTAAATATTTTAATGAATATAAAATTGCTGCAGCAACGATAAACTTTTCCGAAAAAATTTAATGTAATTTGATCAAAAAAAAAATTTTAATGTAATTTTTTTTTTTTTGTTACATTTGATTTCAATTGATTGTGTATATTTCAGAAGAAAAAAAAAATAATATTGTAGCTTCCACTTTTTTTTTTTTGCTTTATCCTTGTTTATTGTTTTTTTTTTCGTTCCATATTATTTTCATTAAATATGTTTGTTTGTTTGTTTTTTCTTTTCATCATTTGTCATATAATTTTTATTTTCTTTATTGTTATATTATTGCTTATAACTTTTTCCTTTTTTTTTTTAAAGAATGAAATTTTAATTTTACTTCAGTTTCCAATTTATTATTGGAAAAATTATATTCACCTCATATCAGTGCCATATATTCCTCTCCTTTTTTTTTTTTGTTGTATTTCTTTTTATTTTTAATTTTTCACTTTTGTAAGAAAAAAAAAAACTTTGTTTTTGTTTTCTTTTGAAAAAATAAACAAATAAATAAAGAGTAATGCATTTAAATTTGAATAATTTTTTTTTCCTCTCATTTTGTTGTCTTAAAATTAGATAACAATTGATTTTTTTTCTTCATTCATATTGAGATTTCAAAGAAAAAAAATTTAATTCTTTTTTTCATTCTTTTTGAAAAAAAAAAAAGATGCTTTTATGATTTATGCAAAAATTTGTATATTTTTTAAAGTCTTTCACTTTTTTTCTCATTTTTAAAAAGTTTTCTTTCTTTTTAAAAAACAAAAAAACTTAAATAAAAATATAAATAAAATTATTAGAGATGAAAAAAAGGAAAATTGTTGCTATTACATCCACTTAACCAATTAATTTTATCAGCCAATCAATCAATCAATCGAATTCAATCGCTAATATACTAGAATTGAACATTTTAAATTAAAGTAATTTTATACGTTTGTATATTATATGTATGTACGTGTGTGCATACGTACGCGTTTCTGTATTACGCATACATATATGATACGTGTACACCACATATGTATGACGTGTCTGTGTTTGGAATGACGTGTATGCGTATATGGATGCGTGGAAATAAGCACGTATTTTAATATACTGATGCATAACAGAAAACAATCATAATTTTAAAACAACAATTTTTGATAATAGTTTCTTCATTCATTAAGGTTATAATAATTACAATTAAAATTTAATTAGAATTGTTAAATTAAAATTGAACTAATAAAAATTGTCCTTTTAATTCGAAAGAAATGCCCAATTTCTCCAATTATTCCCAAGAGAAAGAGAAAAAAAAGATGAAAAAATGGAAGACAAACCGTAATAATAACCGTCAATGGGTTTGAAGTCAAATTGCGACGGAAAAATTTACCGAATTTTAAGTATTAAACATTATTTATACATCAAATAACTTTTACATTTATTATGCTAATTTACTGTATGCTTCATTTCTTATGAACATATTTTTGTAAAATTAATTGTAATATATCAAAATTTGAGTATATTTAGAAGTATAACTATCAAAAATTAAATTATGCATTTACTTTTTCATTCTTAAAAACTAATCAAAAATTAAATTATACATTTACTTCATTCTTAACATATTTTTTCTAATTTTTCTGAAATTTTTATTGCTAAATATTAATTTCATCTTTTTTCACATCCTTTTTTCCCTTTCTTTCTCTCTCTCTCTCGGTCTCTCTGTATTTAAATTTGAATTATTTTTATTTGATATAATAATATTTTTAAGATAGACAAAAAAATAGGAAATTGAATGGGACCGGATCAACTTGGTGCTGCACATTTCCATACCGCATCGAAACCATTAAAAGAAATTGACATACGTCTTCCGGAAAATCTTGTTAAGGTAATCAGTTTATTAAATAAGATTTGTTATCCAAACGAGAATTAATTTTATTTCATTTTCGAAAATATAGGAAATCAACAATGAAACTGTAAATGTAATTCAGAAATATTCTCAGATTATTCAAAAAAAAGGATATTAGTATGGAGTAAAATTTGAGTTTATTTTTGTTTAGAATATCTCTATAGATGTTTATTTCAATATTCGAATCTAAATTTTAATTCTTTGTTAGGTTATTTTTCAGACCTATAAGTTTTCATTTTTTTTTTCTTTTGAAAAATTTATAAATTTCAACGAATAGGTTTTATAAAGAAAAAAAAATATTTATTTGCATATTTAAATTGGCATTTTTTTTAAATAAATTATTTTTATTGCATATATATATATATATATATCATATTTATTGTTTATTTATCATCTGCATCCGATAAAAATCAGATAAAGCGGAAACAAATTTTTTAATATAATGATGAAAATGAATTGAAAATTTTCATTTCAGATCAGATATTACTGATATTACGATAAATAACATTACTAATAATTTAATTTAAATTATAAAAAAAAAAACTCCACTAATTATGAATTAATTAAAATATATTGAAAATGTTATTATTATTTTTATTAGTAAATTTTCAATTTTTTTTAGTAAATTTTTTTTTTTTTTATAAATTTTAATTTGATTTTATTTATCATTTTCATTTTTTCAGGGAGCTGTGAAATTGGATCCACATTTAAAGAGATATCTAGGCGATGAATTTCCTACAGAATGCAACACAAACGTTACTTGGGCATATTTAACTTTTGACAAACAGGCAAATTTTATTACAGTTCAGAGCTAAGATAATGCAGCTCTTTTTCACAATTTTTTAGACTTTAATTGTTAATATGTTTTACTTTTTGTATGTTTCATCTCTTTTTTTTTTAAAAAAAAAATATGTTTTATCTTTTTTAATTAGAGTTTTGTTGCAGTCAAAATTGAAGTTAATTTTACATATTCACAAAGTTAGAATTGCTAAAATCAATGAAAAGATATATTATTCAATTCATTATTTACAGAATGAAGTTTTAACGGATTTAATTACACGTTTGAGTATCGAATTGAAGCTACCACAATCGGAGAGGAATACATATGCATTGAAATTTGAAGATTATGGTAATGATGGTGTTTTTCTAACTAAGGAAAATCGTAGTTTGGTACCCCAAGGATTCATTCTTATTTTAACCGCATCTCCGGTATTATTTTTCTAATTTTGCATATCCTTTAAATTTCTTTTTTCTGCAAATAAATCCGAATTTGTTATTCCTTAAATGCCAACTTTCGATTTATGATAAAATTAGAAAGAAAAATTTAATGATGCTTTAAAGCAATAAAATTTTATAATAGTTACAAAAGAATTACATGTAAATGAACTAAAATATAAGCATAGCTATTTTTTGTCATAACTGGATTAATGTTCTCATTTTTTCTTATATTTCAATATATTTTGTAATCGATTATTTCAACATTTTAATCTGATAAATTGTAAAATTAAAAATTTTGCTAACTTATAACACTTATTTTTTATTTTTTTCACAGGAACGTTATGCACATTATTTCTTATCACGTTTACGTAATCCTGCAATTCATACTGGAGATTTACGAGTAACGCTTAATGAACTGATGGCTTTATGCGGTGATGTTTCATTTGCAACACAATTTATGCGTATAGGTGGATATGATTATATATTTGAAGTTATCGAAAAAGGATTATGTGCTGAGTATACATTCACTTTCATTTCTTATAATATTTTATTGAAATTCGTGAATTTTTTTCAGTTTTTTTAAATTTTTTTCCAGTGAATTTCTTTAGTTTGATCAATTTTTAGCATTATAAATCATCAATGATTGTTAGACTCATATTTAATAAAATCAATATTTATCTAAGAATGAATAAAATCTATGCTAAAGTAATCAAATTTTAACATTGCTTTAAGCAATTTTTTTTAGCAGCGTTTCCTCTCAATCACGTTTTCTCCAAGCATTGCTAATATTGATGGATCATCCTGGTTTAATGTATTGGTCACAGGTTTCGGATGAATTTGTTTCTAAAATAGCAGAAAATATTACGGGCAGAGCCAAACAAGAAGATAATACCTTATTAGTTTCATCGCTCAATATTATCGATCTTATTTTAAATGCTAAAAAGTATAAAACTTTTTCAGTGGATATTTGTAGGAATAAATTTGACTCATTTAATTATTTTTATCTTTCATTTAATCTTATTGCTCTGCATAATATGTTTTCTTGTTAATCTAAATGGTATTTTAGTTTATTAACCATTGCAGTTGTTAAAACTGATACTTGTTTCGGTAAAATGGGAGTAAAACATTGATATCCTAGATGACCTTTGCTCCCTTTCATCATGATAACTTCTGTTATCAGAACTGATTCCATTATTAAACTCACAAATTTAATTCGCATTCCGAAAATTATAGTAATCATGAATATTCAAATTCATTTTTTTCTTTTGTAATTTGTTGTTTAGAAGCTGTAAAACATATTTTAGTAATTTCGTATGTGAATTTTTGAAAATATAATTCATATTTTTAATAGTGCTAATATTCTTTAAATTTCAGTGATGAGAAAATGAATCTGGTATTGCGAGAGGTACCTTTTGAATCACTTATACGTCATCTTGAAAAATCAGACGAACGAGTCATTTTGAATGTTTTGACGTTGATGAATTCTTTATACAGTAAGGCCAGAGACCATGTAAAAAATGATATTGTAGAGGTAAGAGTAGAAAAATTTTATTTCTTTTAAAAATATCATATAAATTTTAGTATTGGTAGTTGTAATATGTTATGAAAATGATAATATTGATAGTAGAAG